CCCATTTTAACCGGCTCAAGTAAGACTAGTGCATCCTGGGTCCAGCAGCACAGGCCTGTTGTCTCACAGGATCAGCCATGCTGCTAGTCCTTAGCGGGAAGAGGGTGTAAGAAGGGTGATCCCCCTGTGCCCCTCCTCAAAAGGCAGAGGCCTCTTCTATACCTCATGGGGCCAGCCACTGTGCCAGGGCCCCAGAGGCAAGGCACAAGTACTGAGATTCTAGAGTCGGGGAGGGGATGAATCCCTACTTCCCCAAATGTTCAAATGGTGAGAGTTGTGGGGGAGAGAGGTAATCCCCCAGACCCAGTGCTGCCCAGCAGAGGACTCTGGGAATGTGCTCTGGAGGCCCAGCTCCCTCCCACCTCTCCTCTCTGGGCTAGTGGTCAGGCAGTTGCCAGAGCAACTACAACAGGGGCAGGTAGGAGGTGAGGAAGACGGTGGGGAACCTTGCCGCCTCCATTTCTGCTTCAAGGAGATCAGTTTGTTCTCAGATATGCCACTTCGTTACCCCTCCAGATAAATGAGTAGCAAGTTGAAAGGGGGGAAGCCTCAGGTGGATGGGTGAGCCTGGGCCGGGCAGGGGAAAGAAACACTGTTAGGCCTGACCCTGGTTCTCACCCCTAGAGTGAAGCAACTTCAGGGAGGTCAGCTCTGCAAGGCTTAGTGACAGCACAGAGCCTGAGCTGGCTCAGCAGCAGTGTCTAGGCACGAGGCTAGTGGGGGTGTGGGAGTGAGGGCCAAGGGTCCAGCCTCTATCCTGCCCTCTGGCGAGAGCTGGAATGGGGAAAGCAGGCAGTGGAGTGGGGAGATCCTTCCAAGCCTCTTCCCTGGTGGAAGGGCCCCGTTTGCCGGCAGGGTCTGGGGCAGGGCCCCTTCCAGGCAGGACCACATCACACATCAGTCATCTCATCCCCCAGCTCTGCGTCTTCCGGCTCTCCTTCCTCTTCCTCCTCCTCCTCCTCCGAGGTCACATTGGGTTCATCAGCTTCTGCTAGGCATTTGGGGCAGGAACAGACAAAAAGGTAGTTCTCCCTACGGGGGTGGGGGAAGGGAGAGAGAGAAGTCAGGCAGCCACCAGGACAGAGGACCCCAGAGCCCAGCCATGTCCCCAGCTGGCACCTGAGGATCTTGTGGCGGCTATGGCGGCTGCGCTCCCGCTGACAGCAGTCTAAGTAGCTGATACAGATTTCCTGTGGAGCAGAGGAGAGGAGGGATCTGACAATCCATGCTGTTAATTGAGACAAGGGCTCTCCAAACACTACGCCAGGCCCAGGAGCCAGGCTCTAGATGCCCTTGGGTGGAGGGGTGGGCTGCCCTGCTCCACTTGCCTGTGCCTTGAGCAGGCAGGCAGGTAGGCAGGCTACTATGGGGCTCCAACTACCTGTGTCTGACACAGAGGAGACTGTGGTTAGCCACAAGCATGGTGAAAGCCAATGGCCAAGGCCTGTGGCTGCAACCAGGATTATCTTGGTATGATGCTACTTGCCTTGGAAGAAGACTCAGCAAGGCTCTGGGCATTGCACTAACAGCCAAGACCCCAACCCATACAGGTCCCCCTCAGTTCAAGACACAAAAAGCTGTCTCCTGCTTTCTTACAAGTTGCAGATATGGTGATGAAAAGGCGACTAGAGACAAGAACCTGGGCATGTCAGTAGTCCTCAGACTTTGCTCTGAGGCTTCCTAGAGCTATTTTTTTAAAATATAGGGTGAGATTAGAACACACCCACAGGTAAAAAAACTCAAGCCCTGGCCATTTAGAGCTCTAACCACACCGCTGAACTGCAAGGGGCTCTAGCCATTTCCACTCCCACCCTGGGGGAAATCTGCAAGGCCCACCATCCAGCTACCCCACATCTCTGGCCTCCTCACCTCTCCCGGCTTAATCTCCTCCAGAGCAGTGACATGCAAAAGGAAGTTGTTTTCTGGGAAGGAGGTCTCTGCATTGGGGACACAGCTGTGGTTACCTGCGTCACAAAAAGCAGGTCGTAAGGATTATGACTGACTAAAAATGTACAGCTTCAATTCTACAGGGCGCTGGGTCCTATCTTTTTTGGTTCTCTGATCCCTTCTGGGGCTGAGCAAGACTGGAGCCCAGGTTTCCTGACTCCCCATTCATTCTCTTTTCTGAAGACACAGGCTCAGATGCACTCCCCTGGCACTCCCCCTCACCTCCTGGGACTGGCCCACTTCATGCTGGGTTGTGCTCCCACAACCTCACAACGGGAGGGATGAGGCTCTCAAAGGCTACCCACACGCAACCACTCAACTCAGTTCTGTTACCAGACATCTGGTACCAGCTGACTCAGGCGCCCTGAGAACCCAGTGCAGGCAGCAGGGCAGCCATGCGGCCAGAGAGGAGGTATTTCCAGTGAGGAAACCAGACGGTGGGAGGCTGAGATCTGGAACAGGCAGCTGGCCTGTGTGGCTGTGCCATTCTCATCAGCTGCTGAGACTTGCTTTCTAGCCTGAGCTCTCCCTTCCCGGGACCCTGAGAGCCCCCAGGCTTCTCATACTTTCCTTGACCGAATCTCACAGGGCCTGGCCCCATTTTACATATGGGCAGTATTCAAAAAGTTCATGGAAGATGTGTATTATGAAAAACTGGATCTCAAAATTTTGCACCCAGAAATAAACTCATACTTTAATCTCATTTTCCCACAAACTTTTGGAAATCCCCAAGTATAAGCATATATTCAAGCACAAGCAATTGAATGAACAAACAAAAAAATGATGGAACAAAAAGGACTGGGAGATACCCAGAGGAACTTCAGACCCAACCCCTCTCCCAGATTCTACCCGATCAGCCTCAAGACTTGGGCCAACTGAGAAAGACAACGGTGGCTGGGAGGCCACCTGGCAAATGCAGAAATGCTCAGGACCATCCCTCCTCATGGCGTGTGACTCACAGCAGCTCTGAAGCACAAAGAGGCCAGATCCTTCGCAGTTCAGAAACTCGCCGGTTGCTGTAAGACAGTAACGTGCAGATGCTGTTTGTCCTGCACAGACAGGCACTGGCTCCACTGTCCTGCCACCCACCCAGTAACACACCCAGTCCCGACCGTTTCACCTCAGCCTGCACCTCTACAACACAAGCCTCGCGTTTCTGTCTAGGACATCCCCTACCACCCAGTGCTCCCCCTCCTCCCAGCATCGAGTCACTGGATGGGGCTTGGGGCGAATTCTCACCCGCGTGTACAGTGGACAGGTATGAAGCTCCCCACAGGCACGCAGGTCACCTTCCCCCAGGAACTCAGAGCTCCTTGGGGAAAGACTGGGCACCTGCCATCCAACTAGGAGGTCTCCACAGGTGGGTGAGGCTGAGGCCCCATCTCACCAACCTGCCTCGATGTCCTTGTACAGCTGGTCAATGAAGGCGTCCAGCTGCTCGCGGTCCTGAGGCTTCAGCTCCAGAGCGTCACAGGCATGGACCCACTGGCTCAGGGAGCTGGGGTCCCAGGCAGCCCAGAGTTGGAGAGGAGGAGGCCCAGGTCATGAGCTCTCCACCTCTAGGCAAGGGTTTCCCACCCACCCCATTTCTTTCTCCAGGGTGAGGTCCATCTTACCCCCCGCCAGACCAAGGTCCCAAGAACAGATTCCAGGACTCATTCTCTCTGACTCCAGGTCCCTGTGCCCAGCAGTGTTCTGGCCAGTCACATCCTCCCTCCCCAGTCCTGGTAGGAGCTGTGGCTAGGTTCCTCGATCAGTCTCCCACTCAAGCCTTGAGTGGGTTAGGATAAGCCCAAAGCTCTGGAGCATTCTATCCTCACCTGGTCCCAATTCCTTGGCCATTGGTCCCAACAAGAGCAAACAGAGACCGGAATCCATCTGGAGTAAACCACTGTGGAGAGAAAGAGAGGTGAGAATGTAGGTTAAATCCATGCGCTTCTGGCTCAGGTGGCTCCCTGTTCTGTGAGCCAGTCCCACCCCGGCTCCAGAAGACCAAGTTGGCTTGGGCTCAGCCATCCTGCAGGAGGTGCTGATCCCAGAGTGACAGAGCAGCCCCTGGTCCTGCCCACCCACCTCACCTGACTGAGAGCTTCCTCATAAAGGGCCTCTGTGAAGAGTGTCCGCAGGAGTTCCAGCTGGCCCTGGTTTAAGGGAGACAGGAGAGACTTGCATCCTGGGGACTTCCTGTTAGCGCCCAGGCAGGGCCCAGAAGACCAGGTGAGGGAAGGACAAAGGGCCAGCTCTGTGGACTAAGATGTCCCTTGGGTAGAAGAAGGCCATAGAGTCCTTATCTCCAGGCTCTGACAGCCTGCTGGCCTGCTCTAACCTAGGGCAGCAGCCCCAAACCTCTTCCTATTTTCTAGCACGTCTACCAGCAAGGCTGAGGCAGCCTGGCTTAGGACTTCTGTCCTCACTGCTGCCCTGCAGACCAGCTTGGCTCTCCCCTCCTTTCCTCCAGATTCAAAGCAGGAAGACCCATCCCAGATGCGTCCCTTACACACACCTACCTCTGCCCTGGGCAGCTCCTGCCTGGAAGCCTGCCATCCTCGGTGAGGATCGGTGGTGGCCTTTGGTTGGGGACTGGCCATTTCACCCTGCTCCCTGACTCTGCGGACCCCCACCCCTGTACTCTCTATCAGGTCCACTGTGCCCACTACTGTCCTATGACAGGGCTCCTGCCTCCCACTTCAGTGTGACGAGCACTTTCAGGGCAGAGACCAGACTCCTGCTTCACCTGTCACCACTCCACTTCCCAATTTTCAGTCCGCATTAAGTCACAAAGCTAACAGTGGCAAGAATGTTAAGTCTTCTGAATTGACTTTTGGGCCCAGATTCTAACCCCTTCCTGTAAATGGGAAGGAACAAAACTCAGAGCTTCCCACCACAGCCTCAGACATCCCAGGCTGTTTGGGGAAGGGCACAAAGACAGGGCACAGGAGAAAACCAACCTTGAACTTGTCCCCCAGGAGTTTGTGGACAATTTCTTCCTCCTCATTGGCCGTTTTGTTACAGAACTGGGAGAAGAGCCTGATCCAGCGGTCCTTATCCTTAGCCTGCAGGGAACAAATACACCTGATGATCCCAGACACCCACCTTCTGACTGGTACTCCTGCCCCTGCCAGTAGGGAAATACCAGCACACATGCACTCCTAGGGGCCCTTCCCCTGCCCAACACTTCCTCTCCGCACTGCCCATGACCTCTCTCATTTCATGTAAGAAACACAATCCTGAAAGACAGTGCTTATAAATAAAATACATGAGCTGCTGCCACACATGACAGCTCAGACATTACAGGTAAATGGGCCCCTGCTCCTCCACTCCCCAGGCCTGACTTGAGTTGAACCTACTCCTAAGGTTTTATAGAGCAAACGGTTCTCCTTTGGGAAGCCCAGGGAGACCTCTGCATCCAAGTTGGGGCCATGAGGCAAAAAGGAGACTGAGGCCAAGGGCTGAACTGAGAGCCAGCTTCCCCAGGGGGGACCCCAGGGCAAGCTCACCTGCTTCACTGTGGCCACCATCCGGGCCATCAACATGATGCTTGCAGTCTCTGGGGGATAGTGAACACTCCTGGGAAAAGAGAATTAAAAAAAAAAAAAGGCCTAGAAAGTCCTCTGTAGTAGCTAAGCTTATAGAAGCCCAATTACTGTAACAGAAACTTTCCTACCAATTCCAGCAATTGCTAAAGAATGTCACAGCAGGGACTTAGGCAGAACTCTGCCCCCCATGAGCTTAGTGGGGCTCTTTCTAGGAATGTGTAAAAGGCTGAGGGTAGTGGGACTGAACTGGCAGCTCAGATTAAAGGGTGGGTGTTGGTTGTCTAACCCTAAGCATGGAGGAAAAGTCTGGGGAACTTAAGAAAGATGGCAACATGTGCTGAGCCCAGGTAGGCCGGCAGGGAGGGATAAAGGAAAGGAAAGGAAAGGAAAGGAAAGGAAAGGAAAGGAAAGGAAAGGAAAGGAAAGGAGGGAAACCTACCTCCATGCCTCCTGCAGTTTGAAAGGAAAGGAAAGGAAAGGAAAGGAAAGGAAAGGAAAGGAAAGGAAAGGAAGAGCCCAGGTAGGCCGGCAGGGAGGGATAAAGGAAAGGAAAGGAAAGGAAAGGAAAGGAAAGGAAAGGAAAGGAAAGGAAAGGAAAGGAAAGGAGGGAAACCTACCTCCATGCCTCCTGCAGTTTGTTGAGTGGATGCAGGGGGTCATCCTGGGAGGGGCCTGGGCACAGGACCCGGTGGTACTGCTCAGCAGCTGCCAGGCGACACTCTGCACTGCAGTACACCACCTGTCAGTGGGGTGGAGGTCAGCACCCCAGCTCTGACACGGGACGAGAGGGTGCGAGGCACAGGCAGCCCATGCGGAGCTCTGCTCCTCTAACTATATTCCTTCCACAAACTGGCCCTGAGCAACCGCTCTGAGATCTGATGGGATGGGAAAGCATGCTCTGGGAGCGTGGGAGAGGGCCACCTGCCACCTAACCTGGGCTTGTAAAGCCGCAAACAGGGAAGAGAGCTTTTCAGGCAAAGGGGAGAGCCCCTGCCAGGCCCCCAAAAGAAGACTGGCTCCCACCAACCCTATTTTCCATACAATGGAACAGGGCCAGGGAGGGTGTAACTGGAATAACCAAGTCTTTCAATAGCTCTCAGGGCCATGACCAGGTCTGTCTTTACTCCTGTCTTTCCAGTTGAGGACTTGGGCTATGGCTTCCCACACCTGGCCCCTTCCAGGTGCACTCCCCAGGGATGCTTACCTGGCAGTGGGGACAGTTCTGATGGAGGTCCTTGCGTACAGTACACAGCTCAGGGTGAGGCAGAACCTGGCCTGGTTTCCCAGTCAACCTCTGGGCATTCTCCTCTGCCTTCTCCAGTGCCCGAAGGCAGTGGTCACAGGCTGAGGGTCAGGGCCAGACATGACAGTATAAGGATCTCGCGATCAAGGACCACACTGTCCTAGCCACAGCAGCATTCCTAGGGCAAGATGTGCCTGGCACGTAGCAGGTGCTCCACAGAAGTTTAGGAAGTGAGTAGAATAAATTACTATAATCACAGGATGGAATGGATGTTTTCACGTATATCCAAAGGTGGATGATCCACTCCCACCCATCTGACTCCTTGTTTTCCAATCACACTGTCTGTGGGTCCTGCCCTACACTCTGAAGCCAATGGCTCCTCCTCCTATGGTGTATCTCCAGCTTAAGAAAAGTATGAAAAAAAGCAGTGCTAAGGGCATCCCACTTGCTCCTGACTCCTAACCCAGTCTTCTTTGAAAGAAGGCCCACGTGGCCTCTTCCTAGTGGAGAGTTCCACTTAGGCACACAGCCCTTCAGCATGATGTCTGGTCCCTTATGCTATGGGGCCAGCTTCTCAGTTCCAGTTGAGTGACAGTCCTCCCCTTAGAAGCAAGTTTGAAGAGTTTAGTACTGGAGGCATACAGCCCCAAACTCCTGAGACTGGGTGAAAATATGGTTCTTAGGCACATCCCAAGTTATCTAAGGGAAGACAGCGTTTCCTCCCAATGCTGAGTCTCAGAGACATCAGCCAATAGGGATGCATACAACTCTCATCCTTGCGTGAAGGCAAATGAGCTCAGCAGCCAATGAGTAGGCGAGATGGGCTCACCTCGGTAACGATAGAGTGCATTCCAGAGAAACTGCGCAGCCACCAGGGGGCGCTCTACGAAGATGGTCTCCCCCTTCCGAATCAGCTGTGTGGCAAACAGCCCCTTTCCCTAAAAGGACAGAGAGGGAATAGGGTAGTCATAAGAATGGACAGAGCACGCAGCTCCAAGAGCTTCTGGAAGACTGCCCGGCCTCAGCCTACATGCCTCCCTGTTAGGAGAGTTCCTGGGTTCCTGGAGAACGTTTGGCATGCTCCAGAACAGCCTCCTCTGGAAACGTAGCTCTGACCTACTTTCAGATGTACCTCTTTCAGCCCATTCAGAGCAGAAAGCCTGAGGCACCATGGGAGCCACCTCAGACTCCTCAGAGGAGAATTTTTTAGAGCGACAAGAACAGGGTCAAGGTTCATGGCAGGCTGGGACCTCCTGTAGCTGGAGCTGGTAAGGGCAGGGCAGCCTTCAGTGAGTCACCCACGTGCTCCTTCAGGATCCTGGTGGTGGTACTGCTGCTCAGGATTGCAGAGAAATCCTCCACCACGGGAGAAGGGGGTCTGATATAGGGGAGAATGTACCCTCTTCCTTAGCCAGCTGGCTACCCCCAGCACCAAGCACAGTGCTTGGCACCCAGCAGGGGCTCAGTGATCACACCGAAAGGAATGAGCTAATCTTAGTGCCGAGGTTCACTTGTTGTGACCCTCTGAGTCCATTTCTTCACTGTACTCATCTATTTCCTACATGAAGTGAGATTACAACACCTAATACTACCAGGTGGTTTCCAGGATGCAGTGACATGGCTGGCACGGAAGACTGTACCTCACGTGCTCTAGCTCCTTACTATGCAATGTGAAGTGCACAGCCTGGCATCATGGACATCACCTGGGCCACCATGAGAAATGCAGGATCTCGGGGCCAGCAGATAGCACAGAGGTTATGTCACTGAACTCCCACATGGCCGACTGCGGTTCGAGTCCTGGTCCTGGTGGCTTGAAACTCACACCGAGTGTGCATGTGTGTGCCCAAGATCCCAGGAGGAGAATGGAGGAGAAGAGATTGCAGAGTGGCCATCCTCCGGGGAGGGTGACTTTTCACTTTCCCTTTCAGTGTCTCTGACATTGTCTCTCTCCCCAGTGAGTGCACATACCCTAAGGAAAAAAATGAATGAATGAATGAATGAATGAATGAATGCAGGATCTCAAGCACCACCCCAAACTTGCCAAATCAGGATCTGCATTTTGGCAAGATGCCCAGGTGATCGATATGCCCATTAAAGTTTGAGAAGCACTGGTCTATACATATGTACGGAATGAAAAATGAGAAAACAACCATCTCTCAAATGTGCAAAGATCTCATGGGGGGGGAGGGGACAGCAGGTAGCATGGTGGTTAAGGTGCTGGACACTCCCATGGTGGCCGACCACAGTTTGCGTCCTGGACCTGGTGGCTTGCTTTCCCACTTTCTCTATCTCTCTCTGGTCAAATTAAAATAAATGAACGAATAAATAAAATTAAATAATTCTTCAAAAAAAACGAATCTCATGGGATGGCTACAGAGTCTGGGCAGGAATTGGCCTTGCTGGCACTTACTCATACTCCCCATTTAGAGAAAGATACTGCCCTTGGTGACACTGACCTGCCACAACAAAGGGAGAGAACAAAAATGCTTGACACAGCAGCAAAATGTCCTGCCACTGTACCCTCCCAGGCAGCTCCCTGTTTCCCTCTGGCACTGGTGCAATGGCCAGACAGAGGCACCTCCCAACTCAGTACAAGAGGGATGTGTAGGCCAGGGTGCACATCTTGAGCTCTAAATCACAACCCTGTGAACAACTCTGGGAGCTCTGCCTGACAGTAGAATGGGACAAGTGAAGCAGAAGCACGGGCAAAGTCATGGTGGCATCTTGACTGCTTTCCTGGACACTCCACCCCATGCCCTGTAGCCCCCGAGACTTGATATAGCAAAATGAAAACTTGGCCTTCCTCTTTGGGACAAAGCAGCATGAAAAGAAATCTACATTATATGTGATAATTTCAAATTTCGATATGGGATAAATACAAATCTCCCTCTCCCTTTCTAGAGGACCAAATGCAGAAAGTATTTAGTAATCAAAACCAAGGGAAAAGAATCAGAGTTGCTCCTTTATGAGACCACTCATCTCCCAAAGAGATTAAAGTATGTCAAGAAAAACAGCCCTATAACATCAAGAAGCTTGAAGGGGGACCAGCAGGTGGTATGGTGGTTAGGGAGGCTGGACTCCCACATGGCTGACCACAGTTCGAGTCCTAGACCTGGCAGTTCGCTTTCTCACTTTCCTTCTTTCTTTCTCTGTTCAACTTCAAAAACATAAAATAAAATAGTGACAGTGAATAAAATTAAATAATTCTTAAAAAAAAAAAAAAAAGGAGCTTGGAGGGCAATGAATCTGAATAGAAAGGGGACAAACTACACAAACATTATTTCCAATTTGAAAAAGAAGTTTTAAAAAAATATATACAGGGTCGGCAGGTGGCATGTTGGTTAAGGACACTGGGCTCCCACATGGCTGACTATGGTTCGAATCCCGGATCTGGTGGCTTGCTTTCTCACTTTCTCTCTCTGTTCCTCTCTGGTCAAATTAAAACAAATAAATAAAATTAAGTTAAATAAAATAAATCTTAAGAAAAAAAAAAAAAAAGGAAAAGACGTACAGGGACCACCAGGTGGCATAGTGGTTTAAAGCACTGGATTCCTACATGGTCAACCATGGTTCAAGTCCCACACTTGATAGCTTGTTAGCTTGTTTTCTCACTTTCCTTTTCTCTGTCTCTCTCCAGTGAATTAATAATAATAAAAATGAAATACATAACTTTTTAAAAATATACAAAATTCTAAGATGATGCAGTGAATTTTGAAATCTTGATGAAATGGATGACTTCCCAGAAAATACAAATGACTCAAATTCAAAAGGAAGGAAGTCCAGACTGACTAATAAGCTGTGCTGGTATCTGGCTAGTAGGCATCACATGGCACTCTGGCTGGCATCCACTGGTTCTGCTCAGTCTTCTGTTCTGAATGGTTATGTTCCTGGCATAATAACAGTTGCTAAATTTTTGAAAATTATTACTGCCAATGTCCAAAGAAGCAATAAAAGTAGTCAAAAACTACTTCCATATTAGGTCTCTGCTATATATGGTTTTATGAGCTAATTCTCTCAAACATTCAAAGAATAAATAATAATAATTCTGATGCTATTTAAACTCTTCAATAAAAGAGAAAATCAGGGGCTTCTTACTTTTATTGAAAAAGCAGCATAACCTCCATGTGCCAAACTGAGGAAGACAACACAGAGGCCACCACCAACAAAATCACAGACCAATCTCACTTGATGAAAACAGATACACAAAGTCCAAAAGAATCTATCTTGTTACCAAATCTAGGTAGGTCTGTGATTTTCTCTGGCAGCAGATCAAGCAAAGGTATGGAGAGGCTAACCAGTTGGGTTTTTTGAAGTTTATTTATTTATTCCATGAGTGAGAGAGATAGAGATAGGAAGAGTGAGAAATACAGCCTGCCCACACACATACATTTCAATGCCATAACCTACCTCCAGCTAGGATCATGGCACATGACTGTCAATATTAAGGGAGGTCTCCAGACATGAACCAGCAACCTTCCCATGTGGGTCTGCCTCATGGATCATAATGTTTTTACCACCATGCACCACAGTCCAGGCTCCAGCTGGGATTTTGGCAGAAGGCAGGAACAGGACGAGCGAGCAAGGACAGTGAGTGAATTGGGGGAAGGCACGAAGAAAGAAAGGGGCTGAGAGGTCTGGGGCTAATGAAGATAAAGGTCAACACCGCTGCAAGCTAGGAGTAATGGAACTGACACTACCAAACTGTGGGCCTCTCAAGAGAACTAGAGGCTCTGGCTAGAGGTGGAGACTTGAGCAGCTACCAAGTGTGTAGGGGAATTGATTTGTTAGGGAAGGAAAGTGCTCCAGATGCTTCTGAAACAGAAAGGAGCCAAGGAAAGGGGAGGCTGGACACTGGATCAGTATGACAATGCTGAGATCAGGAGACAAATGACTATACAGTGTTCATATCTTGGGCAAGAACCTAGTACACTCAGAGCCACTACATGTGATAGATTATCCAACCTCACTAGTAACCAAACAGATGTAAATGAGAAGAAAAAAATAACATTTTGCACATGTCAACTGGCAAAGGCAACTAAGAAATAAAACGGCGGAGAAAACACAAGATGTCCGCACAGAACTTGAGCTCCAAGACCTTCCATCCCAGGGGTCGACAATAAGATAACAATTAAGTGTCCATAGAGAAAGAGTTGGGTGGGTGTATGTGGCCCTCCCATGAAATAGGCCATTATTCAATTCTTAAAAATTAACATGTAGAAACAAATTTATTGATACTGATTGACTGCTGAATCAAAATGCAATTTCTAACAATGTAATTTTAATACACACGTATTCCCAAAGTATAAGATTATTAGTGATTTTTATCTTTTCTTTATATACATGAAGTTTCTATTTTTCCCGACAAGGAACTTTTAAAATCCCATAATACAACCAAAATCAGGTCACTCTCCTGTTTAAAACCTTCAAATGCTCCTTCAGCTTTTGGGTTCTAATTGAGTCCAAGCACTCCAAGGCCCTCCGTGAAGGGTCCTGGCCTCTCTCCCCCATCCACATTTCACTCGGAAAGTTCCCGAGAACCCACGATTGTTTTACACCTCGGTTCCCTCTGCCCAGCACGTCCCTGCCCATCGCTCCCGCGGCCCAGCAGCACAGCCCCAGCGTGGACCACGAGGCCAGGATCCCCCAGTCCCGCCCAGAGCGGCCGCAGCAGAGGCACTGACAGGCGGGCCGGGGTCTGCGGGGAGGGGGCGCGCACTGTGGAGGTCCGGGTCCACCGCGTGACTGCGCCAGGAGCCTGCGCGCGGGGACGGACAGGGAGTCCCCGGGCCGCGAGCAGGGACCCGGCCGCAGCGTTCGAGCGGCACGGGAGTCTCTTGGCTC